CCCGCTAGAGTTCTCGCCCCTGTGCAAATAAGATTGCTCTAGGTCAATATTTAGGGGGTTTTGGGGGGGGGGGGGTATGAATGTAAAAATTTCGCTTAAAACAGGTCAAACATTTTTCGCTTTTAACTTTTCATCTAATTCAGATAGAGCAGAAAGAAAAGCACTAGTGAACTCAGCACGTCAAGGCGCGTCGAATGATATAATTTTTTGCTTGCTTAAGTGTACTTAAAAAGTTAAGCACATCTTAACTACAACTTAAATCTTAACCCGCGCCGGGCCGGTGCTCCGCGACTTCCGCGCCGGGCCGTGTAGACGGGGGTGTCTGAACACCCCCCGTCTAACTCGGCTTCTGGGCCACGTAGCGACACGCGGCAAGCGGTATTCGAAAGAGCGTCAAAAATAATAACGGAAACACTTCGCTCATTATTTGGGTCAGGTCAAAGGTCAGGTCGCCAGAGGTCATCAAAGGTCAAATGTGGGCCATTTCAACAATTTTGGAAACTGCCGCAACGGCTAACTCGGGAACCAATAGAGCTACAGCGCCACGGAAAAGCGCATTCGATAGCCCTTTTACAGATCTTTCTGATCAATGTTCTCGATTCAGGGCTGCGGAGTCGGAGTCGGAGTCGGAGTCGGAGTCGATCGGAGTCGACAGTTGTGACCGGAGTCGGAGTCGGAGTCGGATTCGATTTTAGAAACCCGAGCCGGAGTCGGAGTCGGAGTCACCGAAAATCTGTCGACTCCGCAGCCCTGCTAGGTCTGCGGAGTCGGAGTCGGGAGTTGGAGTCGGTCGGAGTCGACAATTCTGCCCGGAGTCGGAGTCGGAGCTGGTTTTTGAAAGCCGGAGTCGGAGTCGGAGTCGGAGTCGCCGAAAATCCATCGATTCCGCAGCCCTGCAGTCAGATTTGACCTCAGGTCAACGGTTTAGCCTCCAGAGAGCAAAAACTGTAAAAATAGCCGTTTTCACCAAAAACAGTTTTTCGGCAATAACTTTTCATTCAAGCAAGCCACGACATTACTTTTGCCAGCATCGTGTTCCTCTCGTCGAGACGCGTCGAATCAACTATTCGCTGACCTTGAAAGGTCATTTGGAAAATTTGACCTCAGGTCAAGGTCATGACCTGACCGGAAAGGGTCAGGTTGCATATCAGTCGATCCGTATCGTCGAGCTAAATACATCTGACGTGTTTTCATCGCTCTAGCACGTCTCTATCAAAAGTTATTGCCAAAAAACTGCTGGTGACCGTTCTTGACCTGAGATGACCTCAGGGGCACACAGAGGGGTCACAGGTGCATTTTTCCGATTCAGTGTGTCATGTTTACCTATGAACCAATGTTTGAGAGGGTTTTGAACACCATTCGTCCACAAGAGGCGCATTTCAATTTTTTCCCATTGATCGAGTCGTTGGATGTAAGCAATGGTATGTTTGAGCATCGTTAGTAATAGGTATTATTGTGATGAAAAATGACCTTATACTCATGATATAATATGATTAAGTTGAATTGAAATAAGGCAAAAAAAATCATTTATACATTTCGACTTGCGTCGTCTTTGGAATGTCTTCGGAACATTCCGAAGACGACGCAAGTCGAAATATACCTATAAATGACTTTTTTTGGTCTTATTTCAATTCAACTTAATCATATTATATCATGAGCATAAGGTCATTTTTCATCACAATAATTTTCCCATTGACTTATAATGGAGAGGTCGCAAAATTGACCTGACCTTAGGTCACTGATATCAAAATTCCGAGAGATACATTTTGTACATACCTACTGTTACTTTTATCAATCGCTGAAAGTTTCAAAGCGATCGTTCAGCCACTGTAGCTCTGACGAGGATTGAAACTTTTTCTGAAGTGAGGTCACTTGACGTGATCTGGTGACCTGACCTTGAAAGCCCTGGGTCTGAAATTTTCACAACATGTGCGGAAAAGATGCATGAACAGGTGTGCCAAAAACGCGTTTTTGTGATATCTGCGAAAAACCGCATGGGGAGGGGGTGTTCAAACACCCCCCCGGCCCGGCGCGGGTTAACCCGCGCGGGGCTGGGGGGGGGTAAATTTTACCCCCCTCGCGAATTTTTGCAATATCTCAAACACGGCGGCGCGCAGCACCGCCAAACTTTCAGTACCTTTTCTTACATCAATTTGACACGTTCCCTGAAAATTTGAGCGAAATCCGTCGGAACTTTTTTGAGAAATTGACGTTTTAGTGACGTCATGTTCGCCATTTTCGCCTCAAAAACGGCAAAAGTTCAAACGCCGCTAACATCTTCATTTTCAAAGGAATCAAGACGTAACAAAAAAGGTTATACGTAATTCTACTTTTTCTATCAAATGGCTATCTCGGTTTTTTGAAAATGTTGGATTTTGGCCCAAATTTTTTCAAAAAAACTGACTTTTTTGGGAAAATAATTATAAAATCCAAAATTTTGAGTGTATCGAAAAAAACAGAATATATGTCAGACAAGTGGTCTATGTGCACCTACATACCAATTTTTAGAAGAATCGGTTCAAAAATGTGGGAGTTATTAAACATTTTATAACGTCACGACACAAAAAATGAAAAAAAAAAGATTTTTTTGGAAGTTCTAGACCTCGTACGGAAGCAAAAATAGCACCATTCGATTTGCCGTGAAAAACTGCATCAGATAGACACCTTTTTAGGCATTAACAACCAACTTTAAAATTTGACCTCACTTGACCTGACCTTGACCTGACCTCGACCTGAAATTCATCCAGAGGTGGTCCATAACACTTATTGAGTGTGCCTATTGAATTCTATGAGTAAAATGACCCATAAAACATGTGTCGCACATGCCCTTTTCTATATTTTGTTTTTGGTGACCTGACCTGACCTGACCTGACCTTGACCTTGACCTCTGAATGATATTGTATGCAACGAATATTGTCTTGGTAGCCTAAGAACACGTTTTGGGCAATCAGTTTCAGTCCATGACTCCATTCTTCGGCAACTACGGTGCAAGGCCGATACTGTAGACACTTGCAATTTGTACCCTTGACCTGACCTTGACCTTGACCTCAAACTTTAAATTAAGTACTTGTTTTTAGTTGTTCGTGATGAGATCTTTCGATTGGCGTTTGAATTTTCCAAATCGGACCATTTGTACGGGAGATAACAGGGGGGGGGGGTAAAATTTACCCCCCCCCCAGCCCCGCGCGTTCGGCTGGAGACCCCAGCCCCGCGCGGGTTAAGAATGGTCGAAATGCTTAATGTTGCATATCATTCGACTTGGCTCTTCAAGAGGAACAGCATGATACCATTTTGAAGGCTGTATCTTTATTATGTGATAAGTTATTGGCAAAAACTTCATTTGACCTCAGTTGACCTCATTTGACCTGACCCATGGATAGGTACACCACACAAAGAAGCACCAAGCGACATAATGTTAAATACTGAGGTTTCAAAGCACAAAAGTGATAGAACGAAATGGATATCGCCAGCATTTTCCGAATTGAATATATTCCAATAGGCTTAACATTACGACGTAATGAGTAATGACCTCTAACTGACCTCAGGTCAGTGACATAAAAAACCAAACTAAATGTTATACAACTCGGTGAACTTAGCACATCCTGAAAGTTTGAAGGAAATCAGTCCAAAACTGTGAGTTGGACAGGTGCATAAAGAAAATTGAATTTTGACCATGACCTTGTACCGGTTTTCTGACCTAGTGACCTGACCCAAGGTCACCCGGACCTGAGGTTTTTAGGTCATATGTAAAAAGGCCACCCCATAGGCTGTGCCAAATTTGGCGGCGCTTACACTATCTTCGAAAAACCTTAGGGGGGGGGGGGGGGGGGTCGCATCGACCACCCTGCCAGGGCAAGGGTTAAGTTCTTTCTGAATAACTAGTGCTATCAGCTTTGACATTGGGTCAAAAGTTAAGCATCCAAACGGGAAAAACTCTTAATCCGCGCACCTGCGAGGTGGGGTGGTTGCGGAATAGGTTTGTCTGCAATAACTTTTGACATCAAGCTTCCATAAGGTACAGCCCACCGCTAAAGTAATGTGTGGTTTTACCAATCTCAACGGATGGCTTTGACCGACGATTTTTAAATGCGGACTGATTGAAAAGAAGACGTCAATAGATAAAGTTGTAGCTGCAAGGGTGAAGATATACATGTAAGCCACATTTAAAGTCTCGTTGCAGTCTGGCTGATCGTTCCTAGGCTTCAGAATCAGAACATACCCATGACTGAAACCACACATTACTTCTGCTGTGGACTGTACATACGTTGATTTTACCGGCGTTGCGTTTCTCTCGTTGAGACGCGTCGAACGAACAATAAGTTGGCCTCAAAAGGTCAAATTCAAATTTGACCTCAGACCAAGGTGACAGAATCAAGGTCATGTTGCACATCAGTCGATTTCTATCGTTTCCCGGGAATAGCCCAACGGGGCGTGGTTTAACTAGACCTGTTGACCTGACCTCAAGAGGCCTGGGGTAAAAAAATTCCCACATGATATAAAACTAATATACCATAAACTTTACCAAGCTTCGCGGCGCGCAGCGCAACGATTTTCTATACACAAGCAAAACACTGGCGAGTGTGGCCAAAAACGGCTACTGGCCCCTCCAGGGCGAAGGTTAGCCGATGATAGCCAATTTTAAGGTCCTAGGATAATGGTTGACCTTCAAGGTCAGTGCAATGACACAATTATTGTGAAAATCGGGACCTGCTTCGTGAAGCGATGGTTTAGCTAATCAAGCCACTACACAACTCACAAGATAGGTAGCATTTTCAAAATACTCGAGCATTGTTTCTACAAAGGGAGTGAAAAATTTCAGCATTTCTGCACTTGTGCAAGCCGGTACCTGAACATGAACACTTATGTAAGCCAGATGATTGATCGTATGCCAAATACGACTGGCGTCCGTGATGACTGGTGAATTCGTTTTGCCTCTGTCGATGGACACCTGTGTGCGAGGCGGAAGTATAAAGGAGCACGTCGCTGTCGAGCCCGGCATCAGTTCGCCATGATCACTCTGAGTCTTTGTACGCTGCTTTTGGGCGTATCCCTCGCCTTTGAGGGCAAACAAGACCCGGCGCCGCTACCCGACGTCAGAGGTCACGAGACATATCGCCAGATAGAGCCCAAACGTTTGGAACTGCAAGATGAAAAGGCAACATACGTTCTTCCCCCCAACACTTACTACTTCACCTCACCCAACTACCCGTACAACTACCCAAACAACTACTTTCAGAGATGGATTATTATGGGTGACCAGGGTCAAGTGATCTCACTCATATGCAACTACTATAATGACTTTGATGTCGAGTACCATCCGTCCTGCTACTATGATTTCCTGAAAATCAATGGCGTCAAATATTGCAACGGTCGTCCACCATCCAGCTCGGTGGACAGTGACGAGCTGAGGGTCGTGTTCAGAACCGACTACAGCGTCCGGAACACAGGGTTCTACTGTCTGGTCATCGTTCCGGAGGCGGGCGGAGCCACCACAACGACGGCAGCCACCACCACGACAGCGGCCACCACAACGACGGCAGCCACTACCACGACGGCAGCCACCACCACGACGACGGCCTCGACGACGACCTCCGCTCCGTCCGGTGACCAGTGCTGCGGCATCGCCAACCGGGCCACCCGTATCGTCGGCGGCGTGCCCACGGAGGTCAACGAGTACCCGTGGCAGGTGGGTCTGGTCAACGCCGGCAACAATCGTCCTTGGTGCGGTGGCACCCTCATCAACGACCGCTGGGTGCTGACGGCCGCCCACTGCACTGAACGCCAGACGGCCGGAAACCTCCAGGTTCTGCTCCGCAAGCACAATCTCGATTCCGACGCCAACCAGGTTCGCAAAAATGTGGCGCAAATTGTTAATCATCCTTCTTATAACTCCGCTACCCTTACGCACGACTTCTCGCTGCTGGAACTCTCAGTTCCCATTGATTTTTCGACCTTTGATAACTTGGTGGCGCCAGCCTGCCTTCCCGCAGACAACAACGCCTTCGTTGACGTCGATGCCATTGTCAGCGGCTGGGGCACCCTCGCCTCTGGTGGCACTCAGCCCTCAGTCCTGAATGAAGTCACCGTGCAGACCATGTCCAATGCCGAGTGTACCTCGGACCTCGGCCAGGGCCAGATCGACTCCAGCATGATCTGCGCAGACGTGGACGCCGGCGGCAAGGACTCCTGCCAGGGCGACAGCGGCGGCCCGCTGGTGACCGACGTCAGCGGACGCTACACGCTCATCGGCGTGGTCTCGTGGGGCTACGGCTGCGCCGTCCAGGGCTCTCCGGGCGTCTACTCTCGCGTCACCGCCGTCTCCGACTGGATCTCCCAGACCACGGCTGGCTCTAATCTGTGCTGAGCCCACCGCCAGTCTCTGCTGAGTCCTGACCACGACCGGATCCAGTCTCCGCTGAGCCCACCGCCAGTCTCTGCTGAGTCCTGCGCCAGTCTCTGCGAGTCCGGCGCCAGTCTCTGGCGAGTTCTAATCACAACCGGAGAATTCTCCATTGAATCCCGACATGTAATGCCCTTTGTGACCAACACTGGTAAACTTTGTTAAGGCATCACCTCTAGTCTCTAGCTGTTAGTGCTGGTGTTAGTCTTGTCGAAAAGGTTCCAGACTTTTTACTTTGTTTGTTTACTTTTTTACTCATTCCACTGGTTCAGTCATTTTTTTGGGAGTGTTCAATAAAAGCATGCAATTCTGCAACTCTTTGTCATGGGCAGTGCGGACATTGTGCCTTGCTTAGATGGCGCAAATGTAATGAGGGCCGGGAGGAGGAGGAGCCCTCCTGTAATTGGGACGATCAGTGTCCGTTGGAGGGAGGCCAAAATAATAAAAAACTATCGACCCCAAATACAGGGTGTTCCAAAAAAGTGACCCACCAACTAAGATCGACTGTATCTCTGCAGCCGTGCATGCTACAGCTTTGGGAAGCCGCTCATTAGAAAGAGCAGCCCAATTCCATCCAAATAGGCCATAATTCCGTAACATATCTTGCCCAAAACGGCCAGCATTAAGGAAAGCACAATTCAATACCAAATTCTTGGTGAAACGTTTGGCGTTATCGGATATGTTTAAAATTTCTTCACATCTGACTGTATATTTCAGTTCACGTGCCTTTATTCATTCTTCGCCGTGTTTCACCCGATCTCGCAACACTTTTGTTCTGGTCGGTCTCGGTGTATTACATATCCATTCAGAGCCACACTATGTAGCCTTTTAGAACCGAAAGTGGCCGGTCTTTCCAACAAAGGGTCTCTCATTATCGTAGGACATTTCGGTTTCGGAGATATATAAGCAATATTAGTTAGGGGGCTCACTTTTTTTAACACCCTGTATATGACCAACTATTCGATATTCATCTTGCTAGAATTTCGTTGATCGTTGTCTATTTCCAATCCCATTGATACAAGTTACACGCCGTTCGATGATAATGTATTGTAGGGTAGTTACAATCGGTATGTAAAATGCGCTCACAGTCACTCGCGTTGCGAACACCACTGATTGGCGGGGCCGCCTCTGACTGAGGGCGGTCACCGGCCTTCAGCGGGACAGCCAGGCGTTGGTCTGGGGGGATCCGGAGTGGCTCTAGACGCTGTCGCTGAAGGTCTCTGGCAGGGCGCCGACGGAGCCGTCGATGGCGGCCTGGTGCTCGGCCGACAGCTGCGGGATGGCGTCCGACTCGGCGCTGTAGCCGTTCTCGTCGGCCGTCCACGTGACCGTCACCGTCTGTCCGTTGGGCGCCACGTACGAGTACTGGCCTGAAACGGAGCAGAGCGCAGTGTCAACGGGATATCAGCTCCAGGGGTGGGATGTCAACGGCAGTCGCTGGATGAATGCTGCATATATATTTGTTTCGGCAGTTAAAGGGGCTTGATGACCAGCATGTGAGTAGCGTGCGAACGGATTTGTAGCTCTAAGGACTTGACCATAGACGAAGCTAGTATCAAAGCTGGTTATAAAGACGCAGTGTTCTTGCAGCAGCTCTGTGAGTAGGCACGTACCTAGGATTTGGCCAATTGGGGAGGGGAGGAATCCCGGGGGCCTCCTCTCTACAGAGGGCCTCCTACCAACAGAGAACCTCCTCTCTACTGAGGAGTCAGAGGGGCCATAGCGGTCAGACACAGACAGGCCGTTATTCACAGGGGGCCCCAGATAGTAAGAAGAGGGCCTTGGTAAGAAGGACCCTTGCTGTCAGGCTGGTCAGAGGGCTCTGATTGTCTTGACGTGATTTTTGGGATTCCCGTGAAGTTCGTTCGCCTCCGACGTGATTTTGGCCAACGTGGGCCTTAAGCCCGCGGGGGCCCTGATTCCATCCGGGACCCTGAAAACCCCAAGGGGGGGGGGGGCACCTCGTCCGCCCCCTTCCCCTTGGGTACGTCCCTGGCTTGAGCGTCGTATGAACATGTCAATAGTGAAATATGCCGCCAAAGCTGTCACCGCATATGTATGCAGCCAGCTGTAACCAGTCTCTGAGGTCTCCACAACCAGCTGAGCCCGGGTAAAACCTGATGCGACACATGGGACAAAGAGAGAGGCCACACAGCGGCGCCCCAGCGTGTGCGCCAGAGGGTCCTCCACCCCCGCTGTCTGTCGGGTGGCACGTACCGCTCATGGTGTAGCTGCCCGTCTCCGGGTCCTGGCCCGGGTAGCTGGTGCCGGTGGCGCCCTGCTGGATGTTGTTGGACGTCTCCATGTCGGCCACGAAGCCGCCGGCCTCGTCCATGCTGAAGTCGTTCTTGACAATCTGAGCGTCGCGGTCGCTGCCGGCCACGTACTGGGCGTCATCCTGAGCGGCGGCCACAGCCACCAGGGCGAGCACGATCATCTGCGGAGCAGCGGTCACCGGGCTGTCACACAGTCCACAGGGCGCACCATTGCAGCCCGACTCACAAAACGGCATTGATGATAACTTGCATGTTGTGCATCACCATCATGGCGAACTGTGCGTGGCCAGACACGTGAGGATCAGCGCAGCAAGAAAATACAGTTACTAACTCCGTTCATGTCCCTGTTAAAAAAAAACAAGCTAGAATATGATGACGATGTTTTTACGATGTTACGATGTTTACGATGTTTTTAACGATGTTTCTGATCGTGTGCGAAAGCAAACCTATGATTTGTTTTTCATTGGCGGTTTGTCAGTTGCTCAATAAGTGCAGTGGTAGGCAATGATGATGTAAGCAATGACATGTTTGGGCATCATTAGTAATATTATTGTGTTTAGAAATGAGTTGCTCCGCTAACTATAAACTCACCAGCTTCATGTCTGCTGCGGCGGTGAAGACGACTCCACTTCACTGGTGCGTCTCCCCGGCAGCTGGCTGCTTATATACCTGTCGGCCGTCGAGGACCGGCAGAGGGAGGAGAGGGCGGGAGCGCAGGGAGCGCCAGACCGGGCCAGACGGGTTGCCGAGATGTCAGCGCCTTGGGGACGTTAACCACTAACCAGGCACCTTGAGTACCAGCGCAGAGAATGAAACTTTTATTTCTGAATAACTGCCAATCCGTTTCCCGTCGCAGGCAAATGACGCGGTCAAATAATGTTGCTTTGATGACTGGTCGACTACTGTTGACGAATGCTACTCGAATCTCAATCGACCCCACCATTAGAACCCTACACATTACATAGGTATGCATGTACCTAGATTGTAGGTATGATAGATAGGTTAGCTTGCGGTCGTTTTGTAAGTTTGTAACAGTTATACCTAATATAGGTACTGCCTTGGTTATACATACGGAAATGCAGGGGCGGATCCTGCAGGGTCACCAAGTTCTGGCACTTCAGTCACAAGGGTATGATTTAGGCTTTACCTAGCACAGATGTCACGGGCATGCATATGCAATACTGGCTTTCCTGGCATTAGACATCGTGAGTTCGTGACACAACCCCCACCGGCCACCACCCAACCCAACCACTTTTGCTTCTGCTACCGGTGACGGTCATTGACCAGTCGGGCCCATCTCTCTCCTAGCTTGACTAATTCGAACGTTATACGAGAAAACTCTCCATATCTAGCGCCACCATTTTGACTTTTTTGACCCCTGTGACGTCATCTGTGACCTGACCTGAAAATGACCTGTGTAAAAATTGTAGACCTTGTCCGTGCGTACCCCATGCCGTTTACCGCTTGTCGCTATCTTGCTTTGCTTTCCAGATCTCAGGGGGGGGGGATGGGGCGGTCATCCGCCCCCCCCCTGTCCGCTGTAAGTTGGCCCAGACCCCTGTCGGTGCGCGGGCCGCGGGTTTAAGAGTCTATTGTGCCAAATAAGGGTTATCATGGTCGGATATCATGGCAGTTCACTGGCGGATCCAGGGGCATTTAGAGCAAATGCCCTCCCCCCATGGAGCGTCCGAAATCGACGAACATTTGTGGTTTTTAGAGATTAACCCTCGCCGGCACAGGGGGGGGGGGGTTGACGCAACCCCCCTAAGGTTTTTCGCGAATAACTTGCGTAAAAAGCGGCTGATCGCGACGAAACTTTCAGTACCCTCGCATTGATCAATTTTACATCTACCTTAAAAATTTCATGACCCTGACCCAAATGACCTTTGACCTATGACCTACTTTCCGAGACAATGTTTGGCCGGAATCGCGATTCGGCGCATGTCGGCTCTCATTAGCCGCGCGTTTGCAAGCTTTTCGTGGTTTCAAACGTTCAAACATGTGATTTGATGTTGCTCCTATGCATTAGGGTGGAGGTCAAGGTCACCTGAAGGTCAGGTCAGGTCATTGACCTTTGGTGACCTCGCTTCACTTTTCGAGTTTTACCTACATGTTTCTAAGCTAGTTTTTTGGAGCTGATTTCGAATTTAGCAACCATTTGAACATTTACGAAGTAGTTTTGGTTCCTTCGTAACATGTTACGAAGCTGTCAGAGTCGGTTGACACGTACTACGAATACCCGTCACGACCCCTACCGGTTGACCTGACCTGACCTGACCCGACCTGGTCTAAATGCTTAAAGACATCATCTCTGATCAAACCTAACACGATATTCGTGATCAGCACCCTCGAAAACCCCATAACAGCCACACTTTACGACTTTCTAACAGGTCCCGATTTTCGGGTCATTGACCTGACTTGGAAGGTCACCCGATAACCTAGAACCTTATAATTGGGTATTATCGGCTTCCTCTCGTGACGGGCAACACGCTCGTTTTTTCCGCGAAGCTCTAGCTCGATCAGAGGCCAAACGCGAGGGGGGGGGTCGTACCAACCAACCCCCCTTGTGACGTCAAAGGACGCAAATTGGCCTGTGCTGGCGAGGGTTAAAAATAAAACTAAACAGCTTTGATTAGAAAAAAAAATGTTTTGAACCGCAAAGCAGTGCGTAAGGAATAGAAACCCGATGAGTTTTTGGAATTTGGAGAAACCTTTTCGGGGGTATGCCCCCGCAGCATCCAAGAACACCTTTCTGGATCCGCCAGCAGTGTGACAGTTAAAACTTAGGTATGCCTACATATTCGCTCGGGTGAGCATCTTAAGGACTGGACTGGCTTCGTCGATATCTCTTGCTGTTCTAATCTACGTTTCATAATCGCATCCAATGCTTCAAAAGAACTGCATGCTCGTAAGACACATCTATGATAGCAAAACATTGTAAGTTATAAACACGAGAACACATGCATTTATAACAGTGTTAGCAAACCACCGAGATGGTTCAAATCTACGAAACAGTGTTGCATGCCGTGCGACCGATATCCGCAAATCGATATCACCAGTTCCGCTGCGGCGGACGTTTTTCGCACGGGTAGTCAGCGCGTTGGGTCAGCAAGAAGAGGGGGGGGGGGAGCTGCTGGAAGGGGGAGATGGGTTGGCATTCAGCCGGTGTGGAGTGGCGCCCTTGGCCCGGCCGGCGCGTGGCCGACGAGCTCCCACCGCCGCGCCGATCGGTCGGCCATCCGTCCCGCCACAGCCGCGCCGCTGTTCAGCGAAAGGGCTTTGCGTCCGTCAAGGCTATGGCTTTCCTCATGACTTGCAAATGACCGTTTGACACTGGTTGGAGGTGAAGAGCAGGTCAAAGTCGCCGTCGTGACGGAGAGTCATCAGACCTTGTCACAGAGGTGAGGAGCTGCTACACTGCCGGGTCACACGCACAGCTGGATCGCTGGATACGCAGTAACGTGTTTTTGATGTGTTATGTAGGTATGTGCACTGTGACTAGGCACTCGTACGATTGCCCGGTAAAAACGATAAGCCTGCAGTGTTTGTCAGCTTGATATGTTAACATAGCTTTATGTATTGAAAGACGTTTTGGCCTTGCATCAAAAGTTCTCCAATCTCTATCAAACAAAATTTCTTTTTATTAGACCTGAGGCCTCTTGCACCAAACTACCTAGCTAGGTAAAATCGAAAAACCGGTTTCAGAATAAGCTAATCTAACGGTGGTAAATTTGTTTGCAATAGCCCAATACATAATCCTACATGTGCTTGCTAAATTTTGCACGCAAATTGTTACATTTGAGACTTGGCCTGGTTATACGATGCAAAAATAATCTAAGCATTGGTGCAAGAGGATTTTGGTGCAAGAGGCCTCTGCTGTCTTTCGATAATGGTTTGGTTTAATACCGATGCTCTTGGGGATGTTTTTCATCCTTTTTAGTATCATCATGCCACTTATTGATTGCGCTGATTATTGATTAAAGTTGAATTCAATTGTCGAGTGCCTGCAACGCTGAAGGAAAAAGATCTTAAGCAGATACATTTGGATTATTGGCACTGGTGTCAATCAGATTTGTCAAAGAGAGTTCCGGTATGGACAGGACATGGGTAGGTTGATCCGACCCGGGCTTCATATGCCCAATGATGCTTTTGGAAGAACAGAGAAGTGGAACACCTACACGGAGTTCCTAAAAAACAGCCGAATTATTTTCTCTCTCTCTCTCTCTCTCTATAAGTGTGGACAGGCGTCTCTGTCCGTCAAAAGATCTGCCGGACTGTGAGAAAGTTCGTGCACGGGGCGGCGCGCCAAGCTGTCTGGGCCGAAAAGCGCCATCTGAAAATAATTCGTTCCCTGTGGCCGCAAGGGACGGACGCTACCACACAAAATGACATGAACCATTATGTTTGATAGGCATTGATTCGCTCTTTCCGTCCTTCTGTAATTTAATTATGAGGTTTTTGAATTCAACTGTTTGTGTTGAGGTTCCCCGTTTACCACTATGATCCATATTGATTGGGGTTTTGCAATAGGAAAATCAACATAATGTCATAGCAGTTTATGTTCATTTTTATCGGCGTATTTATTACGCCGGCTTGAATTTAGCACGAAATAGGTAGCACACCCACATTCTGATGCGATCTGTCTGGCGTAGAAGCAGACTGCAGAGATTGAATTGCAATTGATCACATAGCCTACTCCGGAGGGGAAATTGTTGTGGCTATACCTGCCTGTTTTCAGCGGGCACATTTCCATACGGGCTGGATCCGAAAGCTGTCGGCCCTCGTCTCGGGGAGGAGCCAGGACCGGCGACCTTCGGACGCTGCATTTTTGTCCCTGCCGCACGCTTTACTGCCTGTTCGGCGGCTTTAATACAATTGACAGATGACGGGATTACAACCTCGACTACCACAGACATCTGGAGAGCCACTGGATCCGCCGCTGGCCCGACAAACTAAGATAAATACCGGTTTTTCCTATTCTGCCTATCGCATAGCATACGACTTTTCATATTTTGCTATGTTTTGAACACACACCCATTTCAATAACTATCGGACGATGGAACTCGATTCTTGGATGCATCCTAACCTACCTATCAATAATGTGCCATCTGCCAGCTTACATAGCTGTGGTCTACTTCTAACCACAGTGTACCTATACTTCTAACGTTCTGGAGGTAAAGTTTCGGACCACTTTAATAAACGACACCGCATATCACCGCGCCTATGTGTTTTCCTATGAAGTGGCGCACAGCAGACGAGCGGAGCTAGTAAGAATTTCTCAGCATCCGAGACCCATTGTTTTTCGTTTGCCGGAGTCTCGTCTGAGGCCCGTGACCGTGCAATCGGTAACTGGCGCTTGTCACAGCTCACGTCGTACGCTAACCGGTAACCTTGCTCGAGCGGGTCACGCGTAACGGCGGCGCAGCGCGCGTGGCGCGTTGAAACTGCGGCACTTCTCAGCAGACGCGGTCGTCAATGGTGACGGTGCACCTACGCATGTATGCATAAACACATGCACATAGCATGCATGCATGCACGCATGCGTACATACACGTTAACACACATGCATGTCACACACCTATTCACACATACAAACATCGTTACACAAACAACATACATGCATACCAGCTTGTAAGCCCAGATAAGCTGTAGTAATGTTTTTGCTTGGCGAGCATTAGCATGCGAGTCCGTACGCTATCCAGTCATCGCCAGAGGTGGCAAGGGCTCGGCCCCGGTCGTCGATTCGGCCGGCCATCTCGGCAATTCAGCATGCCAGTAGCGTCAGCACTG